CAGGATGGAAAGACTAGAAGTTTAAACTCAATGCAATGCGACAACAATGCGAGTGGAGATTGGTGATCTCTACAAAATGACTGAAATGCATGCCTGAAGTTTGAAGTTTCATTCATTCATTGATAACTATTCACCTTGTTCATGATATGCTATACTTTACATATTACTACTTAATCAGAATATTGTTTTTATACACATTAAGTTAAAAAAAAAACTGCTCATCCTCAGATCATCCAAGATGTAGATGAGTTTGTTTCTTCATCAGATTTGGAGAAATGTAGCATTCCATCACTTGCTCAGCAATGGATCCTCTGCAGTGAATGGGTGCCGTCAGAATGAGAGTCCAGAAACATCACAATAATCCACAAGTAATCCACACCACTCCAGTCCATCAGTTAACATCTTGTAAAGTGAAAAGCTGTGTGTTTGTAAGAAACAAATCCATTATTAAGGTTTTTTTTACATCAAGCGAGAAATATGCACAGATCAAGCACTGTTTACCAGCAATAACAGTCCACAACAGTTCTAAACATATTTTGGTGGGTTTTGATGTGAGTGGAAAACAGAGGATGGACTTTTTCACTGGAGAAAGCAATGTTATGTATAGAGAACCAGAAGCAATGGTTTAAAGTGAGAAACACCTTAATGATGGATTTGTTTCTTACAAACACACAGCTTTTGACTTCACAAGATGTTAACTGATGAACTGGAGTGGTGTGGATTACTTGTGGATTATTGTGATGTTTTTGGACTCTCATTCTGACGGCACCCATTCACTGCAGAGGATCCATTGCTGAGCAAGTGGTGGAATGCTATCTACATCTTAGAGGACTTGAGGGTAATTTTTCAGATATTTTTCATTTTTGGGTGAACTATTCCTTTAAATCAAGTAGTAACCACTCAGAACACAACTGCGTAGGAAATACAGAAAAACTAGTTTTATCTTACGTTGATCATCATGTGTATGGTTTTCTGTCGTTCACAGGTGTAATCTCCACTCGGTTTGATTATGCCTTCAAAAACACTCACAACCACAGCAAACGAGAGCATCACTATACAAACTGAGGAGCAGAAAGTGGATGTGCGACACAACCCTCCTGTTACAGATGATGAGCCAGACTTTGATGGGTGGAAAGAAACCAGAGCCCAGACATCATTATCCAGAAACCTCAGATTTGCATATCACAATCAGGTACATACATGTACAGTGGCCCAAAAACCTATTTGGACACTTAAATCACACTTAAAAATGTCTTTATTATTGTTAACTAAAACTAAAACCATAAAAATGTTCTGTTAATTCCAATAATTTCTCGTTATTGTTTAGTTTAATTTGATGTAATAAAATAACTAAAACTGAAATATCAACTAATAAAAACTATACATAAATATTTAATATATATATTTATATAAATGGCAAAAACACAAAACTAAATTACTAAAACTTTAGCTATAATTCAAATCAAAACTAAAAAATATTGAAAAAACTAATTCAAAATATTAAATTAACTATAATAGTATCTCAATGATACTAAAATGACACTGACATGTAATTGTATTTGGTACAAAATATGTATCTATTTATTTGAAAGAAAGTCTGAGTAATCGTCTGCAGTCTGTCTTAACCACAAACAAATTTTTTTTTTTTTTGCAAATAGTTTTTAATTTTCTAATACTGTGTCATCAGAAGGTGCTAGGTGTTTTCACCACTGGGGTCATTCCTTTAGGGACCCTCTTCGGCCCACTGCTCGGACAACATCTTCACCCTGAAGATATGCCTGCAAACATCCATGGAAAACACATCTGGATGGTACGATAGTAGATGTGAGAAAGATATGAAGCGTGTGTGTGTCTGTGTGTATGTTTGTGTGTGTGTGTGTGTGTGTGTGTGAGAGAGAGAGAGAGATCGAAAACCATTCTGAGTCATTGGGGTTCATATTTACCAGTCATGCTTCAGAGGTGTGTGCTTGTGTTGGGTTTCTCTGACGCACTGCTCCTCGCTTACATGTGCCAGTAAAGCTACACACTCGTGTCTCACACACTGACTCAGCAAGGAAGTGGCTGACAGGAGTGCACACACACACAGAGACAAAAAGAGAGAACAAGGTTTCTGGGAAAATCTTAATAGATCGTTTTGATTCACTTGCAGTTCCACTGAATTTCACACGTCACATTCAGTCAATATTTCTGATGTATAAGTTCATTTTCTCAGGGTTAGAAATTTACAGGGCAAAAATGCATCCAAAATGTTGAGATATTAAAAATGTCATATTATAGAAATGTCTTATATTGACAGGTTTATACAGTAGGAAATATCCCCCCCAAAAAATCCTTATATTATTTAGACTGAGAATTTACAATACCATTTAAAAGTTTGGGGTCAAGGTTTTCTTCAGCAAGAATGCACTGAATTGATTAAAAGTGACAGTAAAGATCTTATAATGTTACAAAAGATATTTCAGATAAACGCTGTTCTTTTTAACTTTCTATTCATCAAAGTATCCTGATTTTCACAAATATGAAGCAGTACAACTGTTTTCAACATTGCTAATAATAATAAATGTTTTTTGAGCAGCAAATCAGCATATTAGAATGATTTCTGAATGATCATGTGACACTGAAGACTGGAGGAATGATGCTGAAAATTCAGCTTTGCATCACAGAAATCAATTACATTTTACTATATATTAAAATAGAAAATATCTATTTTAAATTGTAATAATATTTCACAATATTACTGTTTTTACTGTATGTTTGATTAAATAAATGCAGCCTTGGTGAGTAGAAGAGATTGTTTAAAATAAATAAAATAAATCTTATGACACCAAACTTTTGAATAGTGACATATGTTTTATATACTAAATTATACAAGAGGGGTAAATATAACTCTAAATGGAAATGAATTTCCTCTCTCTGTATAACCACACCAAATGCAAAACGTGCAAGTGCAGTCTCTTAAGTTTAATATTAGACAGGATGAACTAAACTGAAAAAAGAAAGAGAGAAAGAGAAAGACAGAGAGAGAAACAGGTGTTGTAAGGTCAAACAGTCGAGCTGTTCAACCGGCAGCTAAAAGACTGAATCAACAACTAAACCACAACCTCTCACTTTCACACAGTCGCTCGCTCGCACAAACAGATGTGCGCTTTCAATTTGAGAACACAACTCTAATCTCACAGTTTCATTTCCTAAACCTGTCAGGATGTTTATTAGTGCTTGCTAAGCATAACTATTACGATTGCTCATACTAACACTGGTGGATGATAAAGGCAGAAAAAAAGAACTTGATGTATAATTTTAAATCTTCTGTTAAAATGCCAGTGCTGATTCTTTTTTTATTCACTTTCAAAGATCTTCTCAGAGGGGCGATTGCATCGCTTCCTGTCTTGTGAGAATGAGAGTGGCAGCAACTGGATGCACTTTGTAAACTATGCCTCGTCTCCTTGGCAACAGAATCTTGCTGCATTCCAAATTGGAATGCAGATTTACTTCTATGCCATGAAGGTTCTAATGCCGGGGGAGGAGCTGCTGGTGGGGCGGAGCCTAGAACACGAGCAGCCAATGAGCACCAGCCTCAGAACTGCCTGTCTAAAACAGCCACTTCCCACACACTGTGAGTGACAGCCACATCAGTTCTGAGCCATATACAAATTATTTGTAATTTTGTACATTTTATTCCTGAAGACATCTGGCTGTTGCCCATATTTTCTGATTTATGGAGTGATAAAAAAAGAAATCCGAAATCCCCTCAGTAAAAACCTTTAACTCGAATATGTCGACAAAATGAAATAAGCATTTTGAACCTGACTTTATTCAATGTTCGAATTTCTGTTCTGGAAATGTATGCAAATTGGTGCATATTTAATTAGATAATACATCATTTGCATATTTAAACATAACCTTTTAGAAAACTTGTAATAAAAAAATGTTTGCAATTCTTAATGTAATCATTGAACTGGGGATATATCCATTAGTTAATTTTTTTTTACCCTATTCAGCTGGGGTGTCTTGCCTTAAGGATTTTGCTTTTATTTTAACCATTCACTCAAATGTTTCTGAATATTATGTTTCTTTTCCTGCTTCAGCTTCTTCTCAGGGTAAAGATCAAGTGAGGAAGAGAAAGCGAGGTCACACAGTCACTGAGATCCTGGATCTGGATCCCTGGACTGATCATCACACTGAAACTCCTCCAAGCAAACCGTTTAGCGCCATCACACAAACTAAATATAGAGAAAAAGTGACCAGAGACCTGCAGAATCCAAAATTACCTCTATTTTCAATGACTAATGGCATCTCTGAGATCCCTTTAAACTTGAAAATGGCATCTAGTGTAGGGAAGCATGTATACACCTCTGCTATCCCACAATCCTCTATGCCAGTGTATATATGGCCTGTTATTCGATACGCGCCGTCACACCAGCCAATGGGATTTGGCCAAACAACACCACATATGTCCCATAAAATTCCACATATCCACATGTATCCATCTCTTTTGCATCCAGCATCCAATGAGAATCGTCTTTCATTAGCATTGACTAATAGAGGCGACCCCAAAATTAAAGTGACAGACTCCGCAAAGAGAGAAACAAATCCTAAAGACTCCACAAATCAACTGTCAGGCCTCAGTAATGCAACCAATCCGTCTCCGGCTCAAGTGTTTAGTGCTGATGACATCACAGCCCAGAGAGACTCACCTGAGATGGGCGTGGCTTCCTCATGTGTCTCCGCCTCCGCCATTTTCTCAGGGTTAGAAATTTACAGGGCAAAAATGCATCCAAAATGTTGAGATATAAAAAATGTCATATTATAGAAATGTCTTATATTGACAGGTTTATACAGTAGGAAATATCCCCCCCAAAAAATCCTTATATTATTTAGACTGAGAATTTACAATACCATTTAAAAGTTTGGGGTCAAGGTTTTCTTCAGCAAGAATGCACTGAATTGATTAAAAGTGACAGTAAAGATCTTATAATGTTACAAAAGATATTTCAGATAAACGCTGTTCTTTTTAACTTTCTATTCATCAAAGTATCCTGATTTTCACAAATATGAAGCAGTACAACTGTTTTCAACATTGCTAATAATAATAAATGTTTTTTGAGCAGCAAATCAGCATATTAGAATGATTTCTGAATGATCATGTGACACTGAAGACTGGAGGAATGATGCTGAAAATTCAGCTTTGCATCACAGAAATCAATTACATTTTACTATATATTAAAATAGAAAATATCTATTTTAAATTGTAATAATATTTCACAATATTACTGTTTTTACTGTATGTTTGATTAAATAAATGCAGCCTTGGTGAGTAGAAGAGATTGTTTAAAATAAATAAAATAAATCTTATGACACCAAACTTTTGAATAGTGACATATGTTTTATATACTAAATTATACAAGAGGGGTAAATATAACTCTAAATGGAAATGAATTTCCTCTCTCTGTATAACCACACCAAATGCAAAACGTGCAAGTGCAGTCTCTTAAGTTTAATATTAGACAGGATGAACTAAACTGAAAAAAGAAAGAGAGAAAGAGAAAGACAGAGAGAGAAACAGGTGTTGTAAGGTCAAACAGTCGAGCTGTTCAACCGGCAGCTAAAAGACTGAATCAACAACTAAACCACAACCTCTCACTTTCACACAGTCGCTCGCTCGCACAAACAGATGTGCGCTTTCAATTTGAGAACACAACTCTAATCTCACAGTTTCATTTCCTAAACCTGTCAGGATGTTTATTAGTGCTTGCTAAGCATAACTATTACGATTGCTCATACTAACACTGGTGGATGATAAAGGCAGAAAAAAAGAACTTGATGTATAATTTTAAATCTTCTGTTAAAATGCCAGTGCTGATTCTTTTTTTATTCACTTTCAAAGATCTTCTCAGAGGGGCGATTGCATCGCTTCCTGTCTTGTGAGAATGAGAGTGGCAGCAACTGGATGCACTTTGTAAACTATGCCTCGTCTCCTTGGCAACAGAATCTTGCTGCATTCCAAATTGGAATGCAGATTTACTTCTATGCCATGAAGATTCTAATGCCGGGGGAGGAGCTGCTGGTGGGGCGGAGCCTAGAACACGAGCAGCCAATGAGCACCAGCCTCAGAACTGCCTGTCTAAAACAGCCACTTCCCACACACTGTGAGTGACAGCCACATCAGTTCTGAGCCATATACAAATTATTTGTAATTTTGTACATTTTATTCCTGAAGACATCTGGCTGTTGCCCATATTTTCTGATTTATGGAGTGATAAAAAAAGAAATCCGAAATCCCCTCAGTAAAAACCTTTAACTCGAATATGTCGACAAAATGAAATAAGCATTTTGAACCTGACTTTATTCAATGTTCGAATTTCTGTTCTGGAAATGTATGCAAATTGGTGCATATTTAATTAGATAATACATCATTTGCATATTTAAACATAACCTTTTAGAAAACTTGTAATAAAAAAATGTTTGCAATTCTTAATGTAATCATTGAACTGGGGATATATCCATTAGTTAAATTTTTTTTACCCTATTCAGCTGGGGTGTCTTGCCTTAAGGATTTTGCTTTTATTTTAACCATTCACTCAAATGTTTCTGAATATTATGTTTCTTTTCCTGCTTCAGCTTCTTCTCAGGGTAAAGATCAAGTGAGGAAGAGAAAGCGAGGTCACACAGTCACTGAGATCCTGGATCTGGATCCCTGGACTGATCATCACACTGAAACTCCTCCAAGCAAACCGTTTAGCGCCATCACACAAACTAAATATAGAGAAAAAGTGACCAGAGACCTGCAGAATCCAAAATTACCTCTATTTTCAATGACTAATGGCATCTCTGAGATCCCTTTAAACTTGAAAATGGCATCTAGTGTAGCAGAACATGTATACACCTCTGCTATCCCACAATCCTCTATGCCAGTGTATATATGGCCTGTTATTCGATATGCGCCGTCACACCAGCCAATGGGATTTGGCCAAACAACACCACATATGTCCCATAAAATTCCACATATCCACATGTATCCATCTCTTTTGCATCCAGCATCCAATGAGAATCGTCTTTCATTAGCATTGACTAATAGAGGCGACCCCAAAATTAAAGTGACAGACTCCGCAAAGAGAGAAACAAATCCTAAAGACTCCACAAATCAACTGTCAGGCCTCAGTAATGCAACCAATCCGTCTCCGGCTCAAGTGTTTAGTGCTGATGACATCACAGCCCAGAGAGACTCACCTGAGATGGGCGTGGCTTCCTCATGTGTCTCCGCCTCCACCCGCCACACCACAGCGTCGCAGGTTGGCCAAAAGCAACAGATTGTATGTTACAAGGCTTTACCGTATCCATTACAGCGACAGAATGGAAAGATTCAGTATAAATGTAACGTGTGCGAGAAGAACTTCAGTCAGCTGTCCAATCTGAAGGTACATGGATTATTAACTTTTATAAATCTCTGATTTATTAATTGCAGTGTTAGTGGTTCCATGAAGGAAGTCCGAGATGATGATGATATATAAGAAATTTTGTCATTTTTACTTGACATTTTTTAGATTTTTTTTATATTTAAGTTTTTTGAAAAGATACTATCCATCTATCTATCTATCTATCTATCTATATATATATAT